TCTTTTGCTCATTTTTCTGTTAGATTATCTGTCTTTTTCTCATTGACTTGTCAGAGTCACTTACTATATTCTTTGTCAGTTATAGGATTATTCAATATCTTGATCCAATAATAAGACAGATTCCTACCTTAGATGGGAGACAGAATTATTTTCCATATAAAAGAAAAATCAGAGATATACTAACATAAATTTATCAAAGCACATATTAGACAGACAATTTTACAATCATAGAATCAAGAAAGACAGAAGAATGACATGAAACTCTGCAACCAGGTGGGTTTAAAATGTTCTGCATGGTGAAAAACACTATAAAAGTTAGTGACAAATAACTGACTGGAAGAACAGATTTGCAAAATATAAATAGCTCCAACAAATCAATAAAAGCAGAACAAACCATGTAATATAAGAATGAGCAGGCAAATTTAAGAATTAAAAAAGTAGATTGGTTTTCAGCTACTAAATATGCTCAACTTCACTAATAACCAGAGAATGCAAATTGAAATAGTGAGTTGCCTTCTTTTTACAATGCAGGTGTAGGTTAAAGAGTTGGATATTATATACTACTGGAAATGTTGCGAGAATATGGGCCTTCTATACCTGTACTGTATAACACCGCAGCTACTGCTCACAAATGGTTATTTAAGTTTAAATTAGGCCAAGCGCGGTGGCTCACGACAGTAATCCCAGCACTTTGGGAGGCCAAGATGGGCAGATCACGAGGTCAAGAGATCGAGACCAGCCTGACCAACATGGTGAAATCCCGTCTCTACCAAAAATACAAAAATTACCTGGGTATGGTGGCGGGCGCCTGTAGTCCCAGCTACTCGGGAGGCTGAGGCAGGAGAATGGCTGGAACCCAGAAGTGGAGGTTGCAGTGAGCAGAGATTGCGCCACTGCCCTCCAACCTGGCGACACAGCGAGTCTCCCTCTCAATAAATAAATAAATAAATAAATTTAAATTAAATAAATTTTAAAGTATAAAGTTCAATTGCTCAGTCACACTAGCCACATTTCAAGTGCTCGATAGTCAGAGGTGGCTAGTGGCTACAGTATTGGGCTATATTAACATTTTCACCATCACAAAAAGTTCTATTGGGAAGCACTATTTTATAGATAGTTTGCAAAGAAGTAGAAGATTTTTAGAGGGAGGTTGTATTAGCTTGGATCTAACACTTTCAATTCTAGGACTCTATCACAATGTAAATACTTTTCAGGGGCAAAGAAAATGTATGTGTATTTATTATGTGTGTGTGTGTGTAAATTGTTGTAAATATATTTACCGTCAAAATATAGAAAACCTTATAAACAAGATAATTATAATATTTTAAACAACATAATTACATCATCCATACATGAGGAAAATTATTAAATAAATATTTGCTTCCATACTATAGAACAGTATGCATCTATTGGAAGCAATAACCTAAATCACAGAACTACTTACAATATGTTGTTCACTTTTTTTAAAAAAATAGAGACAGGGTCACACTATGTTATCCAGGCTTGTCTTGATCATCTGAGCTCAAGTGATACACCCTCCTCACTTCCCAAAGTGCTGGGTTTATAGGTGTGAGGCACCACTCCTGTCCCCAATATGTTGTTCACTACAAAAGACAAGGGTAAAATAATATGAATAGTAGATACTTATTTATTTATTTGAACCATTTTATTAAGGTATGATTCACATGTAAAAAGTTGTACATATCTAATGTATTTACATCTCAGTGAATTTGGGGATAAATATATACCTGTGAAACCATCACCATATCACCATTATCAAGGCCATGAACATAGCCATCATCTCCAAAGTTTCCTTGCACCCTCTTTATCATTATTGGGGGTGTGTGTGTGTGTGTGTGTGTGTGTGTGTGAATACAAGAAATTGACCCTGTTAGTAAATTTTAAGTATACAGTACAGTATTGTTGGCTATCGGCAGGCACTGTACTGTATTATGGATCTCTAGAAGTTGTTTATCTTGCACAACTGAAACTTTGTACCCTTTGACCACCACCTCATTTCATCCTCCCCCCAGGACCTGGAAACTACCTTTCTACTCTCTGCTTCTATGACTTTGACTATTTTATTCCACATATAAGTGAGATGATACAGTATTCATCCTTTTGGGTATGGCTTATTTCACTTGGCATAATACCTTCAAATATTACATAGTTTCTATACTTGTAAAGACATATCAAAAAATGGAGAAAGAATTACATTTAGTAGTCACATCTGTGGAGGGGAGTGTATTAGACAAGCATGCAGGATTGGAGGATAATGGAGGCTTTCATTTGTTACTCTATTATCATTCAGGGTTATTCGTATCCTTTGTGATACACATGTATAATTTCCATAAATAAAGAGAAATATGTCAAAGCAGGCTATTTACACAAGGCTTGGGGTCCAACATTCAGATGCTACACATCTGTGTTTAGCACACAGATTGTATTGTAGCAGTGGGAATTGATCAATTAGTGTTTTTCTTCAAGAAATTCTATAACAGCCCAAAGAAAAATGATACAGATGAAAATGAGGATTTGATTAAATAGAATAGATCCAGAAGATATACTCCAATTGCCCTCCCCAATTTAGGCTGCTGGGTGTTGCTTGAGAAAATCAAATTAATTTACAGATAGGAAACTGCAATTTCTGGTTTCCAACCTGAATTAGGCCCTCAACACACTTGGTGATACTTTTGTTTTTCCCTAGTCCACTGTCTCCTGAGCTCTCTTCTTCATCTCTTTCAGCTCTGTCACCCCTACACTCCCAGCAGCTGACGTCACAGAGAAAGCTGAAGTCTTCTGACTAGCTCTCCCGTATTTTCTCACTGCACTCATAGCTTCACTGCCTGCTACCCTGCTGTCTGCTCCACCCCTACCTCCTGCTCTGCTGCCCCCAAGGAGGATCTCGCTGCGTCATCACCCAACCTCTCCTGGAGGCTGAGCAAGGCTCCAGCAGGGACTCTTTCCTCTAACAAGCCCTCTTTCTACCACATGGTTCCCAAGCTACTTTCTTACCTTTTCTCTCTCCTTCACCCAATTTATTGAAAGTGCAGTCTAGGTCTGTGATCTCCTCTTTCTAACCGCCAATTTACATTCCAACCTCCTGGTATGTGGCTTTGCTCATCAGCAGTTCCCCGAAACAGGGTGCACTAAAGTTTCTATGGCCTCCTTTGTGCTCATTGCAGTGTTTCTGGAACTTTCCTCAGCGTTTCACCTGTTGGTCATGACATCGTTCATGAAGTGCTTCTGCAATCACCTGTTATCCTGCCTTTCTTTTTATGTCAATATCCACTCCTTCACAGGTCATTGCAAGCTTCTTTCCTTCAGTCTGACCTTAAATCCTACTATTCCTGAGCGCTCCAACCTGGTCTTTCTCTGCTCATTCCTCACCATCCCATGAGGCGTCATCATCTTCTTTCATGGCTTCAATCAGCACCACTGAGCAGAGGACTCCAGTTCAGCTCTAACTCAGGCATCTCAGCCCAGAGGAAGCTGCCTACTCATCTGACTGCAGTTGAGAAATCCCTTCTTCAGTGCTCCTTTACTGGCACCTGGAAATCTACATTTTGCAAGCAGAGCTTGTCATATTTCTTTGCTTTATCTAAATCTATTTGTTCTGACGTTTTTCTTCTTTGAGTGGTTAGAGCCATGACACACACACACACACCTAAGCCAGAAACATCAACATTCTTTCTCATTTTTGCCTCTTTCATTCTGGGAGAATCCATTCAAGCATTAAGTCCAGGACAGTCTAAGTGGGTTTAAATCTCTTGAAGCTGTCAACTTCTGTCCTTCCCCAAAGAGACAACAGAGTTGACTGGAAAAGAACACAGGTTCTGGGTAGAGTTGCCTAAATGTTCACAGGGATTGCTTCAGCTGACACCACCTTCTGAACCATGGTACAGTTTTCACGTCCTCACGTGCAAAGTATGGGTGATAATAGTAGTACCTATAACCTAGGGTCATTGTGAAGATTTAATGGGCTGATTTATGCAGAGCATAGCAGGGTGTGTAGCATGAAAGAAGCCAGTCTTCCATAAGCACTGTTTATTATCAGCCCTAAGGCCATGCTTTCTGCCAACAGACAACACAGATTAGTGCAAGAGTTTTTAACTAGTCCCCCTGACTCAAGCCTGGTCCTTTTTAATCTTTCCTTGTAATTCAGCCAGATTGAATACCCCAGGAACAAAACTGAAAATATTCCCCTCCTATCAGAATCCCTCAGAATCACCTCATGACCTTCTGATTTGCCCTTTTATGGACGACAAACCCTTCCGTTTTCTGAGCCAGAGGCTTCTTCCTTTGTGGAGTCAGCCTCATCACTCGACTAGGAACATAACCAGCTCTCTACCTTTCTCAGAAAGCACTTGGGTTTGCTCTTCTCACAGGCACTTTTTCTAGATTCTCCCCACCATTGCACATGGACACATGAAAATTACACTGACCCCTGGCAACCCAAAGACAAACAGCAGAAAGCACCCCCAGGCAAAATGAACTCAGAACCTTTCTGTTGCCTGGGCCCACAACCGAGGCTCAGGGCCTTCTCTAAAAAGAAGCCGCAGCTGAAGCCAGAGGAACTGCCCAGAGTGGGGCGGGGGGTGCGGAGTCTACACTGATACTCTCAGCCTGTTTCCACTCTTGCTGGTTCTGATGCTCCTTTCTTTTGCCGCAAGCAACCCCAGTGGAAAACTGGGAAACGTCCAACAATGAAGTTAGGACAGTGGCCCATAAAACATCGGATTCCAACCTGTGTCCTAAGGTGTAAAGGCACAGACTAAAGGCACAAGATATAGTGAGCCTTTAACACTTTCTCCTTTGTTCTTCCTATTTATCTATTTCTTCTCCATTTCCGATGGTGTTCTTTACCCTCTCTCCATCCCACGTGCCAACAGTCCCACTTTTCTCTTTCATTCTCGCCCACGGTTTCCCTCCTTTCTTCCATCTGCGCCCAACGGTACGGCCCAGAAAACGAACTGGATGCGTTGGACAGGGCACGCGCACACTGGGGACGCCAGCTAGACCGAGCCCTGGGAGGCAAGGGGATCCCCAAGAAACCCTGCCAGGGGAGCCGGGTTTTGCGCTCCGGCGCCTCTAGCGGCGGCCCCCAGAAGTCTGACTCGCGAGGCCCGAGTTGCAAGGACTGAACAGCAAACTGAGGCTGAGTAGGGAACAGACCATGAGGTCAGTGCAGATCTTACTCTCCCAATGCCGATTGCTCCTTGTACTAGTTCCGACAGTGCTCCTTCTTAACTCTCTTGGCGAAGATGTAATTTTTCACCCTCAAGGGGAGTTTGACTCGTTTGAAATCACCATTCCCGAGAAGCTGAGCTTCCGGGGAGAGGTGCAGGGTGTGGTCATTCCCGTGTCCTACCTACTGCGGTTAAAAGGCAAGAAGCATGTCCTCCATTTGTGGCCCAAGAGATTTCTGTTGCCCCGACATCTGCGCGTTTTCTCCTTCACAGAACATGGGGAACTGCTGGAGGATCATCCTTATATACCCAAGGACTGCAACTACATGGGCTCCGTGGAAGAGTCTCTGGACTCTAAAGCTACTATAAGCACATGCATGGGGGGCCTCCGAGGTGTATTTAACATTGATGCCAAACATTACCAAATTGAGCCCCTCAAGGCCTCTCCCAGTTTTGAACATGTCGTCTATCTCCTGAAGAAAGAGCAGTTTGGGAATCAGGTTTGTGGCTTAAGTGATGATGAAATAGAATGGCAGATGGCCCCTTATGAGAATAAGGCGAGGCTAAGGGATTATCCTGGATCCTATAAACACCCAAAGTACTTGGAATTGATCCTACTCTTTGATCACAGTAGGTATAGCTTTGTGAACAACAATCTTTCTCAAGTCATACATGATGGCATTATTTTGACTGCGATTATGGACACCTACTTTCAAGACGTTCGTATGAGGATACACTTAAAGGCTCTTGAAGTATGGACAGATTTTAACAAAATACGCCTTGGACATCCAGCGTTAGCTGACGTTTTAGGCAGATTTGTAATATATAAAAAAAGTATATTAAATGCTCGACTGTCATCAGATTGGGCACATTTATATCTTCAAAGAAAATATAATGATGCTCTTGCGTGGTCTTTTGGAAAAGTGTGTTCTCTAGAATATGCTGGATCAGTGAGTACTTTACTAGATGCAAATATCCTTGCCCCTGCCACCTGGTCTGCTCATGAACTGGGTCATGCTGTAGGGATGTTACATGATGAACAATACTGCCAATGTAGGGGTAGGCCTAATTGCATCATGGGCTCAGGACGCAGTGGGTTTAGCAACTGCAGTTATATCTCTTTTTTTAAACATATCTCTTCGGGAGCAACATGTCTAAATAATATCCCAGGAATACGTTATGTGTTTAAGAGATGTGGAAACAAAATTGTGGAAGACAATGAGGAATGTGATTGTGGTTCTACAGAGGAGTGTCAGAAAGATCGGTGTTGCCAATCAAATTGTAAGTTGCAACCAGGTGCCAACTGTAGCACTGGACTTTGCTGTCATGGTTGTCGGTTTCGTCCATCTGGATACATGTGTAGGCAGGAAGAAAATGAATGTGACCTTGCAGAGTACTGTGACGGGAATTCAAGTTCCTGCCCAAACGATGTTTACAAGCAGGATGGAACCCCTTGCAAGTACAAAGGCCGTTGTATCAGGAAGGGGTGCAGATCCAGATACATGCAGTGCCAAAGCATTTTTGGACCTGATGCCATGGAGGCTCCTAGTGAGTGCTATGATGCAGTTAACTTAATAGGTGATCAATTTGGTAACTGTGAGATTACAGGAATTCGAAATTTTAAAAAGTGTGAAAGTGCAAATTCAATATGTGGCAGGCTACAGTGTATAAATGTCAAAACCATCCCTGATTTGCCAGAGCATACGACTATCATTTCTACTCATTTAGGGGTAGAAAATCTCATGTGCTGGGGCACAGGCTATCATCTATCCATGAAACCCATGGGGATACCTGACCTGGGTATGATAAATGATGGCACCTCCTGTGGAGAAGACCGGGTATGTTTTAACAAAAATTGCGTCAATAGCTCAGTCCTGCAGTTTGACTGTTTGCCTGAGAAATGCAATACTCGAGGTGTTTGCAACAACAGAAAAAACTGCCACTGCATGTATGGCTGGGCACCTCCATTCTGTGAGGAGGTGGGGTATGGAGGAAGCATTGACAGTGGGCCTCCAGGACTGTTCGGAGGGGAGATTCCCCGGTCAATTCGGATTGTGTCCATCATAATGTTTCGCCTTTTTTTATTAATCCTTTCAGCGGTTTTTGTGTTTTTCCGACAAGAGATAGGAAACTATTTAAAATCCAAACAGGAAAAAATGCCACCATCCAAAGCAGAAACTGAACAGGAAGAATCTAAAACAAAAACTGGAGAGGAAGAATCTAAAGCAAAAACCGAACAGGAAGCATCTAAAGCAAAAACCGGACAGGAAGCATCTAAAGCAAAAACTGGACAGGAAGCATCTAAAGCAAAAACTGGACAGGAAGCATCTAAAGCAAACACTGAAAGTAAAGGACCCAAAGCAAAGAGTGTCAAGAAAGAAAAAAAGTAACCAGTTAATCCATACTCATTCAGTAACACACGCTCATTTATTTAACCAGCTAAGCATTTATCCAAAGGCTTTCCATTCTTCTCCCAATATTTTTTTACTTTAATTTTTCCCACAAGTTTTAATCAGCAAATAAATGGCATTCTTGTTTTGAAAACAAACCAGTGCATTCTATTTCTCTAGTATTCACTTGCCCCTCAGTTTGTGATCAAGTTGTGGGTATTTTGAAAATCCTGCTCTAATGGCTTTTCCATACACTAAAGCTCTGAAAGTAGCGAGTTTCCTAGAATTACTGATGTATTCAAGGTGTAATCTTATTTCTCAGAATCCCAGGGAACAAAGCAATTGTCTGCCTCTCCCTCTTCTTCCCTCAACTTGGTCCATGTGATCACCCACACCTGCACCCATGCTGATCAATAAATGCTGACAACATATTTTATGAATAAAAAAATGCTTCTAGAAGCATTTTCAGTATTTGGGGTGATCTCAGGTGGGTTAATGACACCGATCTGTCCTAACTCTTGCATTGCACCACAGTGCAATGATGACAAGATGATGCCAGGCCTTGGTGGTGTCCTGGGGCAAGGCTGTTAAGAAAATTCTCCATTCTTCTATCCCTTTACCCCTCCCAACCAACATCCTACTTTCTATCTGTGTGAATTTGGCTAATCTAGTTACTTCATATAAATAGAATCTCGTAGTATTTGCCCTTTTGTGACTGGCTTATTTCACTTAGCACCGCCTCCGGGGTTCAGGCCATTCTCCTGCCTCAGCCTCCGGAGTAGCTGGGACTACAGGCGCCTGCCACCACGCCCGGCTAATTATTTGTATTTTTAGTAGAGACAGGGTTTCACCATGTTAGCCAGGATGGTCTCCATCTGCTGACCTCGTGATCCACCCACCTCGGCCTCCCAAAGTGCTGGGATTACAGGCGTGAGCCACTGTGCCCGGCCTCCTGTTTCTTGTCACACTTCTAATGAAAGATGAACTTGCAGCAGTCTCACAGGGAAAGCTGGTCCCCAGACGGTTTTTTCCTCAGCGTATGTGCCAGCAGCCTTCTAAGAGCTTCATGCGTATTACTAACATGCATACTGCTGAAAACAGTTCCATGAGATAGGTGTCATTATTTTCTCATTTTACAGAAAAGAAACTGAGGCACTGCGAGGTTAAATAACCTGCCTGAAGTTACACAGCTAATAAGTAATGACATTGTTCAAGGAAACTTTACATGAACATTAGAAAATTGAGTTGAGATCATTTATTTAAAAATCATAAGGATATTTACACATTAGAATTTTTAAAAATCTTTGAATGCAATAAAATACACATACTATAATATTGACCATCTTAACCGTTTTTATGTGTGTGGTTCAGCAGTGTTAAGTATTTTACGTTGTTGTGCAAATAATCTCCAGAACTCTTTTCATCTTGCAAAACTGAAACCCCATACCCATTAAACCACAATTCTCCATTCTTCCATCCCTTCACCCCTCCCAACAAACATCCTACTTTCTATCTGTGTGAATTTGGCTAATCTAGGTACTTCATATAAATAGAATCTCATAGTATTTGCCCTTTTGTGATTGGCTTATTT